TTTTCAGCGCACAATCAGCGAACTCAAAACCAGCATAGTCGCTCCACTATCAGAGTGAATGCTCTCTGCAAGAGGTTGTCCTTCGGAGCACTATATCTACCGCTAGCTTGATGGCAACCACCTCCGCTTGAAAGACACTACAGTTATCTGATAGCCTGAGACTAGAGTTGATAGAGAGCTCCCGACTTTTAGTTATATCTCTCTTTCTGGAACCATCTTTCATATATAAAAAAAAAAATAGTAACCAAAAGGTCAAACAAGTAAAGAAATGTTACAGAAGACAAAATATTCGGTATTTAGCTATCGTTCTGTGACTTAATTTCAATATTATCTAATAATCAAGTAAAGTTTTAAGAAATACTGCCTCCCGTTAAGAGATATTTTTGGAGAAATGCCGAAACTAATAGGTTATAGCATGACGCCTCAACACGTTAAGGAAACCCCTGTATAGTCATTCACCCCTTTGCACTCTCCCAAATGCTTGCTCGCTTGCTATCAACGAGCTGTAATAAATTGTAATAGATCCGTTTCCCTTGCATTCCCTTCTCTCCACATCACTGCTCCGCCCTGTCATTCGTCTTACCATACCGCCTATGCCACGCCACCCTTTCTCCGTGCGTACTTTATTGTTCGAAAACTAATTAGTGGCGCATTGCACATTTTTCAAATCTTATTGGCATCTAATTGACGCTAAAGCAATGAAGATATTCTCAGCTAATATTTTATTGCTCGCAATTGAGAGACAATTTGCGTTCTACGCATTCAGTTCCGTTAATTGCTTGTGTGAAAATGCTCACCATTTCTATGTATGTATGTGTTCGTGTGTTGCTAACAAATATGGGTATTTTGATAATTTATTGAAGAATTTGATTTATCTGTGGATTTTATTAAGCTGTCGGCATGTGTTTGAGTAAAGAGTAGCGAATAACATAATATAGTGCATTATGTTCCAAGATTTAGGAAGAATTTGGTGTTGTAGCGCATTCTTTAATTAATGTAGTATTCAGTATCGGCCTCTTAATGGCAAAAGCCCCAAATTATTTAAAAAGTATTTCTTTATTATTTCGGATTGGATTCTGACTGAAAAATTAATCTGCTCCTGATTTTTAGCCTTTGGTTTGACTAAGCAGTGAGACCCCATTTATCACTGCTCTGGTTTAGCGCTTACTTATTTTAAACCGGAGACATGGATTTATTAAACCGATGGACCAAAATATTATACCCATTTATATGATATAACATAAAGATCTTTGAAAGGATTATGCAACATTTTGACTGATTTAAGTAAGAGGGAAGACATTGAAAACTCTGACGATATGAATAAAATAGTGAAAGTAGCAAAACAAATCGGCTGTGTAAATGTGGAAGAAGGTGGAACTCATTAAAAAAAAAAACAAAAAAAAAACGGAATGTTGTAGAAGCTTTCATTCACTTAACAACAACAGGAAAACCCAAACTATATTTACCTTCTTGACGAAAAGCTAGTCAACTGAAAACACAAAATGGACCCAGTGATCTGCATGACTTAAAATTTTATTTTTATACTCTTGCAACCCGGTTTGAAAAGTGAATAATGGACATTGGACCGCCCACTATTAGGTAAAATCACATATCTCAGGGCCTGCTAGATCGATTTGCAACAAATTCGGTACAAAATGGACTACAAACACACCTACTTCCCGCATAACAGAATTTTAAAATTCATTTGATTCTTTCAACTCCTGGTATACAAATAAAGAAGAAATTGATATAACGAGATAAATCTTTGCACAACTTTGTGGCCAAAAATTGTTCAAAGCCAACAAAAACTGTTCAAGTGTATAATGATTTTTGTTTTTTTTTTTTGTTAGCAAACCTTTTTTCAAATATGTCGGTTAGTATATGTGCTGAACTTTCATTACTCAATCTCTTGAAGTGGCAATAGCAGTTAAATTTCATACAAGTTTCCTTTCACAACTCAAAGCCTCCTTAACTCCAGGTTTTTCTTTGGATTATGGTGATTGGAGTTAGGGAAGTTCAACTGTATATATAATTCCTATCCTCTGGTTACGGTCTGCACTTTAAGATATTTCCCTGGTTTTATTTCTTGTAAATTCGGTTGCACCCGAACTTAAAGCTTCCTTAATTGTTTTATAAATATATTCGTTTATATAGCTTTTATTTCGGTAAGAAATAATAGTTTGTAGTTATTTCGTTTAACATAATAATTAAATCTAGTACTTAGCCATTTTTCTATCCATCCTCCCTTAAGAGATCATGTCAGAGCAAAATTTTCAAGAAATCGAATATAATAAACATTCTCTTAAATTTTGAAATCGAAGCTCAAATGATTATGGTCGCTACAGCGGTTCTTGTAGAAAGCGAACAGAGTGGTAAACATTCCAATCTTTGTAAGCATTTTTCTCAAAATGCTGATTTTTAAAACGGTTTACACTCTTATAAGAAGACTTTTGAAGATTTCTAGTTCCAATTTGAAGAGACCATTTTTAACGCCATTCGCTAACGCGCCATGTAAGCTTTTTTTGTTTTTTTTTTTAATTTTTTAATTTTTTTTTTACGAAAAACTTTCGCAAGAAAGGGCAAAGGTCAATTCTTTGTGCTCAAACCGCCGCCCTTTTGCCAAATTTCAAAAAAAAAAAAAAACAAAGATCTTCCATAGCGCGATAGCGACTTTCCTACAGATTAATAATATTTTTGAAATTTTAGTTTTAGACAAAAATTGCGGCCGCAATCGTGGACATCGTACAGGACTTTTTTTTGTACGTGTCATTTCAACATTTTTTTTTAACTATTATACATACATCTAATAAATAAACTTAAAAAATTTCTTTATATAAAGATAAATCAGGCAGATTAGTTAAATTCAACATTTAAAAAAAATCGCGAAAATCAGTTATGGCATGTTGAACTTTTGGATGTTACCGCTCGTCAACAGACTGTGTCTCACGCACTTTTGCAAAGCAGTTGAAATGGACTGTCATTTCCGTGAAAACATCTGTTTCCCCATTTTGTGCAAACATAGCATTTCGGAATCGATTTTAGCTGACAGATGCCGCTATAAATCTTTTTTTTTTAATTTGTCATAAATATAAGGGAACCTACCGAACTCAAATAAAGGTTTGACATTTGCAACCAAAATTCCAGCAAGTAAACTAAGAACGCATAGTTAAAAATTCATTTGACTACTGAACGCGATTAATATATTAAAGTTTAATTTCGCGCTTTTCAATAATAACCCAACCATTGGCGTCCACCCGCTCAACCTACACGAACAGAGCAATCAGTATAGTTTTGTTAATATTATAAATTGAGTCAGATAAATCCAATGTGGCAGAATAAGAAAGCAAAACTTGACAAATGCAGCTTAATGGTTCGTTTAGTTCACAATTTGATCAAATTAATGTTAATAATGTGGGCTTAAGCTACCGTCATGAGCGAGACGAGATATTATATTAAAATTAAGACAAGAGGGAAGAGAATATAGGAGTTTTATTCAGGATTTTCATTCAAAATATCATGCCAATTATTCCCCACAATGAGTCAGAGTAGGTAGATCTAAAGGTTGTATGGTGAAGACCTTAACCTAGAATCTCATTAAAAATTGACTAAGACAAAGAGTTAAAATTTTGAATGGAATCTAACTTGTCATAATGGTCAGAATATGTAACTAGGGTTACATACCACCATTATGGCATGTGATCAAATTTGACTCGGACTGTTTCATTTATACTGCCCACACAATCCAAATTGATAAAAGACCTAGTCAAAGACTATTAAAAATCCGGGGGTAATTCGTTACCTGGGTTCAAACGTTGGTCATAAAAAGACTACTTCGTTGGCATCTACATCGCCAGCAACCAAAATTTTGAACAAAGTATTCATGGACCTTGATAATCGTTTGGGATTTCAGCATGCTTGTGACTGACTTCTTGATCAAACCACATCGAGAATATCATTCCGCTTCAGGATACTCGCCATAAGGCAATTGAATTCATTAATTGTCATTTGCTGAAATCAACGAAGGCCATGTATGTATGTCACTATGGCTTATAATAAATTTACGGAAAATATGGCGCAGAAGCCTATTCTGAAGGGGATAATCAATATTTGTTACTAAAATTTTGGACATTCTGTTTTTTGTCAGTCGGTTCAAATTTGATCAGACGACTGAAATAATTTTAGTAACATAAATACCTCTAAAGCTAAGCTTTCCAACATAATTAATAAAAAATTATGCGAAAGTTACACTAAGCGCAAATAATTTTCTCAATCTAAAGAACGGTAAAAGAAAAAAAACTGTAAAATTTTGGTTTTTGTATTTGATTTTATTCCTTTGTACTGTTTTTTATGTATTTCTAGTTATTTTTATTCTGCATTAATTGTAGTATTATAACTCAAATGCCTTTTAAGACTACACAAATTCCAACAAACACCAAAAAAATTATCTCTTCCACCCAAATACATATGTATATATTTCCCCTGAACAAAAGTCGGCAACACTCTTCGCCAAGCAGCCCACGCGTCACACATTAAATTCGCCTCTAAACTGTGGCATACTTTTAGGCAAACTCTATCACACACTGACTACGCAGAACAGCTGTTCACATATAACATTTCAGTCGCTCTTCGCCGCACACAACAACTTCGCTGTTGCTAAAACACACAAAAGAGAGTTTCGCAATGGCAAGCAGCAGCTGAATTGGACACGAAAGAGAGCACACTGCTAAATGCACTGAGTGGCATTGCCAGCTGCAAACAACTCCGCCGTCTACACTTACCAGCGCGCTACTATATTAAAACAACTACAACGCTTCATGTGCCATAACAGCTGGCTGAAAACTCGACCTGACGCTGCTACTGCGACGGCGACCGCGTAGTACACACTGCTGCTACCTTCGTCATTCGTACGCCTCTGGCTCGGCTCTAGCGCTGTTGTTTCTGCTGCCGCTGCTGCGGCCGTGCCAGCTGCCCGACACTTCAGTTGTTTCTTAAAAGCCGGTCGAAGCTGTTGTATGAAGTCGGTTAGTGCGCGATCGTTGTGGGAATTTTTATTTATTGGTGCTCGCTACAAACAATAACAACAACAACACGTTGTCGAAGTGAAGTGCATACGAATTTTTTCGACTTACGAAGTTTTAAAGAAGTGCAGCGCAGTGAATTTGGCTTTCTTATGCGGGAAAGTGTCACAAAAATAAAAGAATTGGCGCAAAAAAATTACAATTGCTCCCATTTATGTTTACATTTGCATGTGGAGCCAGGAAAAAAATAATAATTTTCCGCTGTGAAAGGTGAATAATACAAAGCGCATACGAAGTGATGTAAAGCAACAAACGAAATTAAAGTGAAGTACCTACATATTTAACGACACCAAAAGTGACGATGCCGAGGCCAAAGAATAAGCAAAGGCAGTAAGTGAAGAGAAGTGAAAGAAAGTAACACGAAACTAGTGTGTTTGGGTAGCAAAAACGAGGAAGAAGCAGAAGACAAGCAAAGCAGATATCGAAAATGTAGAAGTGTGGAGGCGCAGTGCAAATGCAATTGGAGTAAATACATACATACAAACATATGTACATATGTATATGCATGAGTGTTATTCAAGCGAATGAGTACAGTGATGCGCTTTGCAATTGTTACAATTTAATTGGAGTGCTCAACAAATGAGGTGAAAAACAATAACAAAACATCAACAAAAAAGTATAATAACAAAGAATACAAAAAAAAAAAAATGCTGTAAATCAAGTGGTATTAATGTGAGGAGCGGAAAGTATAATTGAAACAAAGTAAAAAAAAAAAATTAATAAAGTGAAAAATTTTTAAACAAAGTTGAAAAAAAATTAAACAAAGTGCAAAGAAAAAAAAAATTGCAAATGCTATAATAATTGTCTGAATAAATAAGTGGAATAATTGCAAATTGGCAGCTAGCTTGTGTTAGTGCTAATGAAAACATGCAAATTAATATTCAAACATAAAAGGTAAATAAATATACTATAAGTATGTAGCGGTATGCATTTAATTAAAAATATAGTGAAGTAGCGTACATATTTGACATTGAAGGGTTAATTATTTCACAACAAATTAAAATAAAAAATAAATTAAGTTAATACAAATAACGTCTGAAATGAAGTTATAATTTAGTTTTTTATGATAATTAATTTTCCTTCTGACAGCATATTGCAATAAGTCAGCTTTAGCATTTATAGCCGGTTTCGAACTGCCACCAGAGTCAGGATTTTGTTATGTATCAAACATACATACCTATGCACATATAATACTTGTTAAGTATCAAACACATCTGTAGTGAAAGGCACGAATATCCTAATGTTTTTAGAAATTTTTTTAACAATGTGATAAAAAATAAATAAAAATTGACAAATAAATATAATAAACAGCCTAACCTAAAAATTAAAATTAATCAAAATTAAATTAACATTAAAAATACAATATAAAAAACTATTAAGACAAAGCCTTCACAAATGCATTTCTTACAGTTGTTGTTGTTGTTGTTGTTGTAACGTTTATCTACTCCCCATTAGGGACGGACCATAGGAGAACGTTGTCACATGTGTAGGTTAGCTGGGTATGCTAAGGTTGTTGTTGTTGTTGTTGTAACGTTTATCTACTCCCCATTAGGGACGGACCATAGGAGAACGTTGTCACATGTGTAGGTTAGCTGGGTATGCTAAGGCGTGGTTGGAATCATGCGGGTACATACATACATATGTACATATTTTTGGTGTGTTGTGTTTTTTCGGAGATCTAACCCCGTTTGGATCGATACATTTTAGATTTTTAGTCTTTTACCCGATATATTGTTGTTGCTGTAGCGGGAGAATTATGCCAAGTTGACAATTCTTGACCGGATAAATGGTACTGGTACGTTCTGATTACGTCACGTTTTCACGACTGCCGTGGGAACGGTTTTTTATCGGTCAACTCCTGTGGTATCTAAATGTTATGTGTAGATCTGTTTTGATCCAAGCAATTTGTTCGGAGATTGTAGCACTGCTTTGGAAAATAATTTATGAACAATTTATTTTGTCAAACGAAAAATTTTTACTTACAAAAATTTGATTTTGAGTAATATGCTATAGCAGTCCAATTTGTTTCTGTGCCAAATTTATTCTGTGCCAAATTATATGAAGATACCTTGTCAAATAAAATAGTTTTCTATATAAAAACTTCAATTTGATCGGTATATTATTGTGACAGCAATAAGCTATGTTTGTCGAAATTTGTTCGGAGATTGTAGGAGTGTATTCGACATTGAATATTCTGTCTAATCTTGTGAAAATAAAAATAAGAAAGTTTTCCAAACAAGAGCGTCAATTTGTTAAGAAACTTTGTATGATAGCTATAAACTATAGTTGTCCGATCATCGGAGATTTGTAGCATCATCTTTAACAATACCTCAAAAAAAACAAAAGATCTTGTCATATAAAAAAGTTTTCCAAACAAGAACTTTATTTTGATCGTTCAGTTTGTATGATAGCTGCAGACTATCTGATGTGAACATTTCCAACAAATGAGAGCTCTTCTTAGAGAGTAACGAATGTATACAAAATTTCAGATCCGCATATTAAAAACGGAAGGACGAGTTCACAATAATGTACGAGGTGTGTTCAGTAAAATTAAATATATAAACTTTTGCTGCTTCGGGACTCCAATTGTCAAAATTTCAAGTTTAGTCATAGCTTACTTTGACTGTAGTAGCTTCTCAACTTATACGTATTTTTATAAGGTTATCTATTTTCGTTTGTTAAAAATTCACTTTTCGTTGCTGGTTCCTGAATTCTTGGGCAAAACCAATACTATAACCATGTCCCAGCCTCCATATCTGTCAGACATGGCTTCGTATGACTAAGTGATACTTCAGTAATTTGGTTGGCAAACTGTTGATTTATAGTTAGAGTTTTAGAGAAATCTTTGAAAGAAACAAATCCTACAAAACTTTACTTTGGTATATACTTCGATTGGATAGAATATTTTAGTATAACATCGGTCTCTAAACATTGGTTCGAAGATGAACTTTACTGGTGGTTGGTACTTTAGTATAAAACAAGTTAAGATTGAGGTTATTAAAACATTTAACTGCTCAATAATAACCATAAATTGAATATAATTCTTAATTTGCATATTCTTAAGCTGGTCACAGTCCGTAAAACGGCTTCTTGGTCTATGAGAAAAACTTCAAAAATATATTATACACAATTTTCAATCTCTTATTATCATCCTTAGAATAAATTTTCCAACAGAACATAACAACAAAAGTACATCCTCAAGTTCAGACGACGGTATATGTACATTAACATAGTTTTTACAGCTACTAAAAGTAATAACAAGCAAGAGGTCAAAAGCAAAAAAATCAACAAAATTCAGTTTTTGTAGAAATACACCAAGCTATATACACACATACATATTATAAAAATATACATATGTATGCCGTACAACATTAACTTATATGTACACATCAGCTCATCTCAGCGCTCCACAGCAAAACTAAATTCTCACCTGCATCTATTAAAATAAATGAATATTTTAATGGTTGAGGTAAACGTTTATTGTACACAATTTAAATAATAATTAAAATAGAATTGTCTGAACCATTCGAAACGATTGCCTTTTAAGTGCATATGGATGCAGTGACTAAAGCAACACAGCAAACCCGTACGTTGCGGTTATCCCCAGCACCTCTCATGCCATATGCCACCGCATTCGCGTCGTGACCACCGTTGAACCGACTGGATCAACCGGTTTACAAATACACACACATAAATCTTTGTACAACCCTGTTTGTGGGTATGTGTTTGCGTGTGTCTGAGCAAATATTGAATTGTCTGCGACCACAACCAGTCGGAGGCACATGCAGTCAACCAGTCAAATGTCAGCTAGTCAGCCAGAAAACCTAAGTAATAACCAACAAAAGACACAGACAACAGAGCGTGCAACTTCGTGCAGCTTCATTTGTGGCAGTTGCAAGCACTTTGTTCCAGCTTTGTAGCGAGGCAAATACTGAAGCGCAAGCAAGCGTGGATTTTCATGCAAAATTGCATTTAGATATGTATTTATATGGAAAAAATTTATTAAAAAAATAATATTATAAAAAAATGTATATATCTATCGCGTGTCTAGAGAATGTGTGTACTCGTAGCTTTACGTCATTGCAAAATGCCAATTATATTTTTCTATTTTTTCCCCATTACGTATAACATGTTTTGTTTTTCTAATGTACTTGTTGGGTTGCTGTGTCCAGCAGTGCCAGTCCATCGTCGAAATAATAATTTCCAACGTTCACTCAATCTAAAATATTTGCATGGCCCCTCCCGGTGCTCGTCGCCACTCGACTTCGCAAGCACGCGCTTTGTTTTTGTTTTCCCAACTGCTTTAGTCGAATGCACTGCTTCGGGTATTTATTTATTTTAATTTATTATTGCATTATTCCAGTTTTTGTTTGCCCACTCCGTTATGCTTTGCTTGCTAAGAAATACAATTACTTTTATTTCTATTTATACCAGATGTTTTTGTTGCTACTATTAATATACTATACTTGTGACTGGCGGAACTATTCGCTTGATTAAGGCGAAGCAAAGAAAATATTCAAATACCGCGAAATAGTTGCAAAAAGTATATGGAATAAAAAGTTTACTAAATATCACATGCTGTATATGTTTACTGTTATTTTTGCGTAATTTTTTTTTTTGTTTACGTAGTGCTGCTATTCATAAAAATTAGTCACCAAAGCGTATGAAAAATATTGCAACCAAAACATTAATGAGTTAAATGATAAAAATTAAATAATAATCGAATTAAGAAATTTTACGCTAATTATGTACATAAATWTAATAGAAAATGTAATGAATGGTTATAAAAAAGATAGACATAACTAAATAAATACTAAAAAAAAAATATAAAATATTAATATAAATATAATATATACAGAGGTTCACAGCGCACGCAGTTATTTTAGATCTTTGTCGTATTTTGTCAATAGATGTGCTGCTGTCTCAGCCGGGTTCCTTTCTGCTATTTATAATTTTCTTGATCGCGCATCAAAACCCACAAAAAAAAAAAAAAATTAAGAATGGGTCCACGGGCGCTAGAATCGACAGAAATAGTTTTAAATCTTTTTTAAGGGTGTAATGGTTTTAAAACTTTGTATTGTTACAAACATACACTATTAAAAAAGAAATTCTGAAATTTTTGGAAAAAGATATTTTAAACTCGGCCATTGCGGCATTTCCGGTGACTTCGTGTTTTAGTTAAAACCTTAACTTAGAACTTGGACGAAGGAAAAAAACTGAAAATTGTATTTTTGGCAGACATTTTTACAAAAAAATTGAAATTTTACGGGATTTTTCTTTTTTCAAATAGTTGTAATCGAAAAAAATCCTCCGTCCAAGTCTATAAGTATTATATCTCAAAGACCAATTTAAATTTCATAAATATCGGTTGAGTAGTTCTCTAGAAATATTGCCGAGCGACTTTAAAAACACATTTTCGAGGAAAACGCGTTTAAATACGGCACTTAGCTTAGCTAACCTCGAGCGCACAAGTTCTCAAGGCTGTATCTCCGAAACTGTTACTCGGATCAACTTGAAAACAATATTCAAGAGGTGTTGTAGAATTTAATAAGACAATAAAAAGATGTTGAAATTAGCAGATTAGTATTCTAAGCGAACTGAAAACGGTGTATAGTCAACCAGAGTTCGAAAATCTTTATATTGATTATAAGAGAGCTAAATAAGGTGTTGACTCGATTTTACGCGTTTTTGTCTCAAGAACACACTATTATCCGGAAAAACAATTTCTCTCACCATTTTTTGTTTATAAAATCGGTCAAGTTGTTTCTAATATATAAAATAACACCTAAAAGTGGGTGGTGTAGGATGATTACTTTCAGGAAGTTTAGCTGAAATAGCTACAGTAGCTTTTGAGATATGCTCCTTGAACCTGTTCGAGATCGGCAGCACGCCTTGCAATGCCAATCCTCTTTGTGTGCCAAGTAACAAGAGTACCAAGTTTCATTAAGATATACACGGTCAGACAGTCACCTGGATTTCAACACGTTTCGTTATCCTGATCATTGATTTATTTACCTATGTACATGTACTTTACATGATTCCATATCTATCTCGATTAGTTTAAGATGTTAAAAACCACAGTTAGAAGGAAAAGCTCTTTAGGACCGTGTTGAGAGAGTATAAAAATATTCAAACAAAAAATACAAGTATGTGTAAATAGAAAATGTAAATAAAAAATGAGAAAAAAATATATATATTTTGTTTTTAAACATTGATAAATAAATTTATATTTTTTAAATAATAAAAATAAATAAATAAAATTATTATATTTATAATATCAAAAGGGTGCATTATTTAGTTCATAAACAATTTTATAAAGAAAGAATTAAAATTTTTTAAATATTTTATACGTAACAAACAAAAAAAAATTGCATTCAAAATAAATAATATAAATTACAAACATAAAAACAAAACAAAAACTAAATCAAATAAACATTTTATATAAAATGTTATATAAATGAACGCATGAGTCATAATGACAAAACAACTGACGAATCAACTATCAATTCATTACCGAACCGCTGCAAATGCAAACAACTGAGAAATTACTCCAACGTTTCAAAACTAAAGCACACCTCCAGCGAAATACGCAAAACAAAATGTGCCTGGACTGCAGCCCACGCGCTTACCTTTGCTCACCACCGCGCGGTACTCCAACACTTATCCGTTACTGTCTTTACTGTCCAACATCCCCCATTTGTTCGAACACTCGCCGCTAGCTTGCTGGATGAGTTATTCGGAAGCAGGCGCAAACCAGTTTTGAAGCGTCATCAGCAGCCAGCTCACACAATTCAATCCGCAAAAGATTTAAGCGACGCCTCATTGGGGCAACCAAACCAAAAGCAAATGAAAAACACATTCAAAATAAACTCAAATAAACAAAAGAAAAGTGCAAAACTAACGAAATCTCAAACGGGCGGCTTCGCAAAAACGACTGTCCAGCTTGCAAACAAGTACAGCAACAACAATAACGCCAAAAATGCTGCCAAAAACTTTGGCGCTGTGCAAAACCAAAGCAAAGCAAAGCAGCATTGCAATAAAAACGCACGCAATGAGCTAAAATATCTATAAATTAAAATGAAATAAACAACAAAGCGCCGCCGCCAAAACTTGTTTTTGAAAACACAGTGCACATATGTACACACATGTGTAATTGTTTGTATGTACATATGTGTGTTTATAGAAGCACGGACGCTGCTGTGCTGCTTATTGTGCTTTTGCTACCGTTGTTGTTGTATTTTTATTTGTTTTTGTGTCTCCTCCTTGTGCTTGTTTTCATCTGCACTTTTATTTATGCATTTTTGAATGTCTGTGTGTGTGTATTTCTATGTGTAATTCTTTATGTTTTTATACCCTTAACGGGATATATAGGGTAATCGAAAAAGTATTTTCCTATTTCTAATCAAACATCAACTTATTTTTTTATATTTATAATGAACTTTAATAAACCAAATACAATAAGTACCATTTTGATTAACCACTTTTTGCCATTTCTCCGCTAGAAGTATTATTCCGTCAGTCTTTTCTGGTTTCTCCTCGAAAGACTGCGATAAGTAATTTTCATAATTTTATCTTGAAGCCAACTTTACTTCATTCAAGGAGTTCTGCATTGACTGAAATGATTGGTAGTTCGATGGTGCAAGGTTAAGGCATAAGATGGATGCTTCAAAGCTTCCCAGCGAAGCTCTCTTAGTTTTTGCCAAGTCATCAAAGACACACACAGGTCTAGCGGTGTCCTGATGGCAGACGAAGCACTTTCTGTTGATCAGTTCTGGCCGTTTTTTCGATTGCTTGCTTCAATCATATCAGTTGTTGCCAGTAAAATTAAGAATCAATCGTTTGACCTGAATGGAACAGCTTATAGTTTATAATTCCTTTCCAATCCCACCAAACACTCAACATAATCTTTCGATTCCTCGTCAATCCTGGCTTTGCGACCATTTGTTGAGCTTCACCACGCTTGGACCATGATGTTTTTCGCACATTATTGTCGTATTTGATCCACATTTCGTTTCCTGTTACCTTTCGCTTCAGAAATTATTCCATTTCATTTCGTTTCAGCAAAAAAAAATCGCAGATGTTAATTCGGTCCATTAAAATTTTCTGAAATTTTACCAGGTCCTTTCCTCCAAGAAAATTATCACTTCTAGGCATCGACGACATCGGATCTCTAAAGCACAAGGCTGTCATACAAACTGTCCGATCAATGTCTAAATTAAAGTAAGGGTGTAATCTCTGAAGGCAGTCCGTAGATCGTATTACTCTACCATTTAGCTGCCATACAACTGGCCGATCCTTCTCAAGTCTTTGTAAGAAAAACTTTTTTATTTGACCAGATATATTCACGAAATTTGACTCAGATTATTATCTAAAGCAACGATACAATCCCAAAAAGTATTGCTCAGATCTCGGACCACTATAGCAAATAGATGTCATACAAACTGACCGAACAAAATCAACATAAAGATATTTTAATACCGTTTTATCTCATAAGTAATGCACCTCTGTGGGGTAACATAGCTTCAGTGCAACCGCAGTCGATGCCCTTCTTTTTGTTGTTGTTATTGTCAGTGATTTTGCTGCTATTTATTACCTTTATCTCATACTCACTTTGCTGATTTGTGTTGTATTTGTTCTGCTGCACTTCATTATTTTCCCCCTTTTATGCTTCTTCTTCTATTTTTCATTCTAAATTTCTTTTCTTCTTCAATTTTTTTTCCTTTTTGTTTTTTCTTTTTATTTATATTTTTTTTATATTTAATTTTGTTGTTTTCATTTTTTTATTATCATTTTTATTGTTATTTTAAAAAGCAGTAGCAACAACGTCAGTTCTTGCTTGCTTTGCGCTACCTTCGCGCTTACTACTATCACGTTGTTGTTGTTCTTGTTGTTGCTCTGCTGCTCCGTTTCTTTTCTTAGCTCTATGCTCTGCTGCTGTCATTCTTCAGATGTAGCCTTTCCAAGTGTTGTCATTTAATGCAAGTAGTTGCCTGGCTTTGCGGATTTATGGTTGTTGTTGTCGTTGTTGTTGTCTTACCTCTGCTGCGTGGCAGGCTGACTGGCTGTCGTTCCTCGCTTTGTCCACTCGCTTAACTTCATATACATATGTATGCCTGTGTAAGCATTTATGTATGGTCTACCAGGCTGCTTTGTCAAGCATACAAAAACAAAAACAACAATAATAATAATAATGACAACAAAAACCACACTCATCTGCTGGCATTATTTATGCGCAGCAGTTGCCTGCACCCGCGCGTTTTCACCCAAACAAGACACTAAGTTGTTGTTGTTGTTTTTTCTCGTTCACCTTTCTAGCATTCACTTTAATTTTTTTTTACCACTGCTTCTTTTATGTCTTTTTTCGTTGTGTTCTTAACGCGTTTCTTGCTTTGTGCACTTTATTTCAACCACTCTGCCGCTTCTTCAACTAATTCCTTCGGTTGCAAACACACACACACACACACACGCATTCTCAACATACACATAGAAGCCACCACTTGATTGCATATTCTTCTGCTTCTTTTTCTTGTGTCTTGCGCCTTTGTGTCCATAAACTCCTGCTGCTTCGTCTTCTACTACTGCCGTTTCAATGTTAGTTGTTGCTGTTGTTGTTGTTGTTGAGTTCTTTGGTGGTTGCTGTACCCATAATGTTGCTGCAGCTTCTTCGCCGCCTGTATCTCTGCTTGCTTTTTTAACGACGGTTTCTTCGTCGTCTACTCCTGCAATCTCGAGATTGTATACCACCATCCACTTAGATTGTCTTCGCACACACACACACACTCATGTATGTGTACATTCATACTTCTTCTTTATTGTTTTGCCCATGTTTTTGTTTTGCTTGGCTCTTCTCTTCAATGCATTCTTCGTTAGCGCTATGCCTTTTCCTTTTTCGGCTGGTCAATCACTTCAATCTCCAAGCCATTGCCTGTGCCTCCAACACATGAAGACACTTTAAAGAATTGTACGACCAAATTTGTCTGGCTTTCCAATCTGTTGCTGCAGTCGCGGACTCGAATGCAATTCCTTTTTGGTTTTTGTATTAGTATTCTTTTTCTTAATATTTTAGCAAGTCTTGAGTTCTTTTTCGTACTATCACGTATTTACTTGCTCTCCATACTATAAACATATATGTACATATACGTAAGCTTATTTAAATACTTTAATATATAACCTAAAACAACAACATGCCACCATTCCAACAGGTGTTAATTAAAATATGTATTTTTCTCTTTCCTTTTTCTTTTCCAGCAATTCTTGACACCTTTAATGCGAAATCTCTCCAATTGTCTGGTTGAACGCGCAATTCGTCTTTATTGCAACAAAAGCAAAAAACAAAGAATTCTCCATAAAGTGCTTACAGAAACGTGTTATTTAAGCGGTGTGAATATATAAATACACACACTCACATACATACATATGTATATGGTGTATACTGGTGCTTGTGTGCTTAAGGTTAAACCAACAGTTACTCGGGATCGATTGCATTTTTGTGGATTTAAGCAAAATTTTAAATTCGTTGGAAAATAAATTCGTTAAGTGGTGGCTTGTATGAGCAATATTTGTGCAGATTATATACACACACATACAAACATACATATGCATATGTGAATGTGCAGCGAGACAACAGGTTGTTTGCTTGTGGTGAGTAACAAGTTACCGTTTTTTAATTTTTATGAATTTCGCTAATGCAAAAATATTTAAAAAAATATATATTTATAAAAATGTATTAATAATTTTTAAGAGCCGGAAAAAGGTGAGTTCTTATTCGTACATATTGAAAGGCCCGTATTTCCTGAACTGGTTCGGTAGGGGATGGCTCTTTCGGCAATGTTATCTGCTATTTTGTTTCCTGGAATGTCCAGCAACCACTATATCTGTCAAATTGCTTTAATTGACGTCGATAGCCGACCTCTACATATACTGATATTATTTATGACTTTTCCTGCATTATTAGCTATTTCAGCAGCTCTTCTGACTTGGAACTTGGACTTCTGCCTGGAAAATACTACAGTATTACCGCAGCTTAAGGAGTCGCATCAGATCTAGCTCACCGCAGTAGATCCCACTGCAGCAGCCATTCTGTTGTGGTCGTTATTAAAACTGATCCCCGAAGCCCGAAAATCACACTTCTAGAGTTGTAGACACATTCTTTGTGTTGCCAGAACTCCATATCCTCAGGTATAGACAGAGTGCCATAAGCTCATCTAAAGTTCGCTTAGAGGATGTGTTTCGAATAGTTCCTATTTCCGCATAAAATAAATGTAATATTACAAATCTCGCTCTTAGCACCTACTTTTTAGTATTTTCTGTATTTGTCAACTGGTTCTAGATGACCCTGGGTTCATTTGAATATCCTTTTTTATTGTGAATACAATTTGAAAAACTTTGGGGAACGAAACTTTTTTTTATATTTGCACAACAAAATGACGAATTTTTAATAATTTTATTATAGTTTCTTAAGAAAAATGATCCCAAAATGCACTTTCATACACAAAACCTTTTTTTCAGCTTATCTTTTAATACATATTATTTCGTTATTCTTTGAATACAGCATTAATCATATGGTTCAGCTTAATTTTAAACTTTTGTAGCATTTTCATTTACTTCTTTGAGTAACTCGAGCAATATAGAAATTATTTGATTTCGTTGAGCTCTCGTAATATCTGAGGGCTGTTGATGTAATGCTGACGTTTTCAAATATCCTCACAGAAATATATCGGGGTTTTCAAATCTAGTAATTTGGAAAATATGCCGATTTTTGTTTGCAATAAGTTTATTCGAAAAGTGGCATGGTGTGTTGTATTCTTGAATGTTGTAACTGCCATGCTCTTTTACACATATGCTAGGCCACACAATGACTTTTTCATTTAGTTTTAAGATACTCTTGGGTCATGAAGGGGTGAAGTGATTCATGTATGTGTGAATTTTTTCCCCATAGTAAAACTTGATACTAGATTTCATATATCACAATACTCATTGCTTGTGTGTATAATAATCATATCGTTTCACTAGGATGAACCATCGTAACTGCTCTCAAGTTTTATACCTATTACGCATCCGTATATTACTTATTCATTATTTATATCTATATTTGTAGCTAAATATTTGATTTCATATCAGGGGCAAAATATGCAAATGCAATTGATAAATATCATATTGACAGATTTATATAACCCATCACAACAAATTATTTATGAACGTTTTTTGTTTAAGTTTGATACGAAACTTCAAAATGGTTGAAAGCATTACATTTTTTCTTTTTCACTAAAATGTCCGCAATGCATTTAAGCCTTTCAAAAAACAAAATCGAAGCTTTTCATATCCAGTTATCAATTGATATCTATTATCAGCAAAAATCACATTTCCGTCCAACGACCATTAATATTTACTTAACACGATTTTATCACTGCAAATGTTAAATATTTATTATTGACACAGCATGATGAAAAAGGTTGATTATCTGTGCTACACAAAACAAAAAAAAAAAAATCCAAAAAATTAAATAGAATAAAGTGCAGTATAATAAATAATGTGTCCCACGGCGGTGCCCGTAGGTGTTTGCATGCAGTGGTCGTAAAATGTGGAAATATAAATAATTCTTTGGAAAAAATGCTTATTTATGGATATAAGTACTTTATTAAATATACGCCTATGTGTGTATGTAATATTTGTATTCCCGGAAAAAGGAGTCATTTTGCCGATTAAAATGGCTAATTAACCGATTACAGCCTTCAGCCTTGAGGGGAAATTTGCGTTGACTTCTTATAGGCATAATTAGGGTGAGCCATTCGTTTACAATATTCTTTTTCTGCAAAATATTTTCTGAATAATATTAGTCTTTGCTTTATTTCAAAATGAGTTTCCAATTCAACTTTTATATTAGGGTGATACATATAATTTCAGGGTATATAAGTTAGGTTTAATAATACAGAAAAAACGACTTATCTATATATCCAGATCTTGTAGTTTCTGTGATTTTTAAAGTGCAATATTTTTTCAAGCCAGTCGCGTTATTTATATAAGAGATTTTTAGACGCTCCTAATTTTTTCTTCGCAAAAATTTTTTTCTAATTGAAAACATGATAGTGTTTATATTTTGTATATATTATTTTATGACATTTATACCAGTTTGTGAGAATTATACCAGTTGTTCGATTCGTTTGTGGGTATAATTTGTTATTCACTCTTCTTTTAATTACAACATCTGATATAAGTTATACCAGTTTATATAAATTATACCAGTTGTTGTTCGTTTCACTGTCCTCCAAATATTTTTGCATATTCTCACTTTCTATTCTTTTTCTACCCGTTTCTGAAAGTATATGAGAGTTATACCAGTTAACAATTCAACTGATTAAAATTGGTCTTAAATAGATTATGTTGCTTTCTTAGCTTCTTTAATTAGGTTTATATAAGTTTACAATTTCTTTGTTTTAAAATTTCGGTTTGGGTCATTTGGTTGCTTACTATTGCAAAAAAAAATGGGTTGCGCGAAAATATTAAAATAATAGGTATTATTAAATAGTAATACATTTCAGTTTTGTATTTTTTTTATCCTTGACTTATCAACTGTTTTTATTTTTCAACACAGCCAAACCAAAATGGTATATTTCTATTAAATATCCATCTGATTATACCACTTTATCTGATTTCAATCAGTTTATGTTCGTTTCGTGAGTTATACCAATTTATATTAATTATACCAATTGTTTATTTCGTCGCAACTAAAATATTTTTGTAAATAACCTGTTGCTAACACCTCTTTTTTAATTATACCTTTTAATATAAGTTATACCAGTTGTAGTTCCTTTCGATGCTCTCTAAGGTTTTTCGGATATTTCTACTATCTATTCCATTTCAACATTTTAATGGAAGTATATGAGACTTATACCAGTTCTTTCCTCATTTCTACGTAGCTTAAAATTTGCTAAACCATTTTTTTTCCTTTGTAGATTGAGGGATTTTTTTCGACTCATCAACTTTTTTTAATTTAATTCGATCAAACGAAAGTGGTCAAGTCTTTTAATGCATATTAATATATTTTCCAACTCATAATTTCAAATCGAAAATTCATTTTCTTTTATCTTATCGTCTTCCAAAACCTTCTTTATTCAATGTGATTAAAAAGAAAAAAATTTTAATATTTTTAGACCATCTCAATGCGAAAAGGATGAAATTATTATTATGTGGTGTTATGAAATAAGGTGTTGCTTTTATAAAAAAAAATTATTATGATTTTTGTCAATCGATTTCTTTTTTGCGTGTATGTGAACTGGTATAAAATATGATTGCTATTAAATACAAGTGATATATTCACAAAAACAACAAATATGTGTACGTAGATATGTATTTATCACATACTATAAATATATATATTTTTTTCATAATCGAGCAGTGAATTTCTCAGTAAAAACAAACTCCAATCGAAGATACGCGCATTCGGAAATATTTCCTTTTTAATACTTGATGGTTGCCAAAGCCATTACACCGCGAAGCTAACCGCCAAGGTAAGGCGTGCAATCCCCTTTTTGTGCACACAAACACCGGCAACTATGGCAGCAACAACAATGTTGCAGGTGTACATATAATAATTTAATATTTGCTCGCACATTCACTTTTTATTTAACTTGTACTTGAGTAACGGCAACGCACGGCACGGCTTGGCAGCCAGAACGTTTTGCCGTCATGATTTGCTCATTTGTTGGTTCATTCGTTCTTCGTATTCTCTTTTATTATCGGTTATCAACTTTACATTAAATATCCGCCGCACCTCTTTTGCCCCGAGGCTCGTAAGTGCTGAATAAGAAGCCAGCAACAACGACAAAGCAAGCCGGTGCTGGTTCCGATGCCGCGGTGTAGCGTCTTATCACGCCCGCCAGCGTGAGTATCTAAGCGATAGACTTTTGTGGATATGTATGTATTTTTGTATGTATCTCTAAGTACACTGAAGCGCAAGTAGAACACACGGCGCAGTGCAGAAGGTATAGAATACATTCATACCTACTCATACTTAAAATACATATGTATATATTGGTGCAAACAACCAGCATATCGCGCACAAACAAACACGCTTCTCAATTCAATTCTTTTTTTCCGAATTTTTTTTCGTTTGAAACTTTTGCTAGCGTTATCAATCTTTGGCCCGATTCGTTGCCGGCCCGCATGTGAGGAAGTCTTTTTCAACCAATTTAATTTTCTTTCGTTTTGTTATAGTCGTTTTCTTTTTTTTTTTTGCTCCTCTGCGTTTCTTGTTTGTGCTGCACTTTTTTTTCGCTTGCCGCTATTGATTTTATTCCGTGTTATCAGCGAAAATGCGATTTGTGGTGGCTTGAAAAAAAAAATTGATTGCGGGATGCTACTTAGAAATACTTGCAACATAGGCACCTATCTGCATAATTTATACATATGTACATATACGAGGTGTGTTCAAAAAGTATCGCGAATTTTGTGTTTTTTCAAAAATTATTTATTTATTCATGAATACCTATTTTGTCCTCTTCAAAGTAATCCCCATGAGATATTATACACTTGTGCCAACGGTTTTTCCAACCCTCGAAGCACTTCAAAAAAGCATTTTTTTTTTTATCTTCTTCAGCTCTTCCTTCGATGCCGTCTTTATCTCGTCAAGAGAAGCGTAACGT